CAAACGGGATGTGGAATTTATGTTCTACAAATGGATTCAATAGTCTGAATTTCTGTAGCTGATCCATGACCAGCACAGGGGCACAATCCGCTGTGTGTGGTTTACAAATCATCACTCCCTTCTGGAAAACAACTGCAATCTGTCTTTAAAATGGCTTTGCCATACGAGTCTCTCATTGCAATTCTAAATGTCAAGGCACACACACAGAACCAACCCCAAGCAAAAGGTAATAACATTACAGAGGAATTCTCAGAGAAAGGGGGCGATCAATGACACGCAATGCGATCCAGTCATTTTGTACCAATCTCTGGAACAAGTGGTCACCATAATCTCAGTGGAAAACCTGTCGATTTTAATTGTGCCCAAGACAACAATGTGGAAATCGTCCAGAATATCAAATTACTAAATCCAAAAGAAGCCGCGAATAATCAGCAATCCAACATATGTACAAAATTTAAGTGTAAAATGTGGTTTTATAACGTTTTGTGCGTATCAGAATTACTTTTCAACCACAAGCTGCAGCGTTGGAGCGACTATAACAAACAGTCTGGTGGCATAAATGTGCAGGAGATGTAAAAGATTATTGTGGAAATTTTGGCTACAGAAAATATGATAAACATTCCCCGATAAAGAAAAAAAAATTGAGAATGTGATGGCGATTGTCCAACCAAAGAGCAAATACACACTTGAACATTAAATGGATCAAAAACATATTGATCTCTATATCCGTATGGCAGAAACGATGAGTTTCCAAGGTCTCTATGGGTTCCCAATCCGAACAGTCACTACTTTTTATTTTTATTTTTTATTTATATTTTATTTTTTATGATTAATGTGTTTTATACTCAGCCAAAGTTTTTCACACAGGAAGAAAAGTTATGATGAAGGGAATTATTTGGTTGTGGTTCATTTCATTTTGCTGACGCTGAATCTCTCATTTCCAATAACCTCTTCATAATTTTATGAGGTTGGAGTTAAATGCAGAGGAAACCTTTCCACAATCATCACCAAAATATAATAGCGGAGGAATGTAGTTGTGGATTCAAATAAAATTATCAATGGATCATTCTGTTCCATCACTTAACCACTTGGCCACCACCGCTGGTATCGTATCTTTGGGCAGATTTGCAAAACAAAATCGTCTATGAATTATTTATTTACTGTATTTTTCTGATAAGAATTCTTTGCATTTGCTTCCTTGAAATTTGTACATCGCCGAATGAGTTCTCGAGAAGTCTCGAAGCGTTTCCCAAGTTTTCCCGACATTGTATTGTGGGGAACACTGCGATAATTTGCCCAAAGTAATATTCCGCAAACAACCAAACCATTTCGTCAGCAATAGTTGGTTTGCTCCCGGGAGGAGAATATTGCTCTGGGATTGCGGTGTCTCTGAGGTAACCGCAACACCTTTGGCTTCCACTGCTTTCATTTTAACTTCAGTGATTGAAAATGTCAAGGAATGTTATTTTAATAAGAAGAAGGTTCCTTGTGTGTGACAAAGCTGCTTTGCCCGATCGAGAGCGTCTCAAACTGCTTCATTGGATTTACTGCAAAAGCTCAGTGTATTTTGGAGGGGAATTTTCTTCCCAAATTGCGAATTCAACTGCAGTGTCAGTTCCAGTGTAGATTTCCCGAACACTGACATAGCTCTTTCCCGTCAACGTCGAGGCCTTGTGGTAATACATATTAAAAATACGCACAGACAGAAGGTCCTCTCTCTCTCGTCGTGATAACAGCATCTGAATGCACCGAACACTTTCGTGTTGTCGACTGTCAGCGACCGTCAGTGAAGTGGCGGCTGTGATGGTTCTCTCTAAACTCTATATGCCCTGTAGCTCAGTGGTTAGAGCACTCGCTTTGCAAGTGAGAGACCTGAGTTCAATCCCAGGCAGAGGGCGAAACCTTGGGCGAGTTTCCTTACTCCACACAGAGCCTAATAATAATCCCTCCAAAACCAAAAAAACAATAATAAATTGGTCATTTTCAATCTACGACTGTGTGTGGGATATTGCTGTGCGCAATTGGCTGCCGCGTTCGCCCACAAATATACAGTCAATTCATTTTACAGTGTGTTCTGTGAAGCGTTTTGGACGTCCTCCCGACGTGAAAAACGCTATATCAAATGCAAGGATTATTATTATTATATGGGATTTATCTTTCCCCCAATTTTTTTTTTTCTCGAATGCATTCAATCTATTATTGCAACACAAACTGAAGGCTGTTTGTAATTCCAAACGGTTGACAGTCTCTCTCGCGCTTACTCTCTCTTGCGCGCTTTCTCTCTCACGAGATAGGGAGAGTGCACGCGAAAGGCAGAGTGAGTGTGCACGCGAGATATAGAGTGTGTGCATGCGAGATATAGAGAGAGTGGGCACGCGAGATATAGAGAGTGTGCACGCGAGATATATAGAGTGTGCACGCGAGATGCAGAGATAGTGCGCACGTGGGATATAGAGAGAGTGTGCACGCAGGATATAGAGAGAGTGTGCACGCGGGATGTAGAGAGAGTGTGCACGTGGGATATAGAGTCTGTACGCGGGTTATAGAGAAAGTGTGCACGCGAGATGCAGAGACAGTGTGCACGTGGGATATAGAGAGAGTGCACGCGGGATATAGAAGAGTGTGCACGTGGGATACAGAGAGTGGCACGCGGGATATAGAGAAAGTGTGCACGCGAGATGCAGAGACAGTGTGCACGTGGGATAGAGTGTGCATGCGAAATGCAGAGACAGTGCGCACGCGGGATATAGAGAGAATGTGCACGTGGGATATAGAGAGAGTGTGCACGCGAGATATAGAGAGTGTGCACACGAGATATATAGAGTGTGCACGCGAGATGCAGAGATAGTGCGCACGTGGGATATAGAGAGTGTGTGCACACGGGATATAGAGAGAGTGTGCACGCGGGATATAGAGAAAGTGTGCATGCGAGATGCAGAGACAGTGTGCACGTGGGATATAGAGAGAGTGAGCACGCGGGATATAGAAGAGTGTGCACGTGGGATATAGAGAATGTGCACGCGGGATATAGAGAAAGTGTGCACGCGAGATGCAGAGACAGTGTGCACGTGGATATAGAGAGTGTGCATGTGGGATATAGAGAGTGTGCACGTGGGATATAGAGAAAGTGTGCACGCGAGATGCAGTGTGCACGTGGGATATAGAGAGCGTGCACGCGGGATATAGAGAAAGTGTGCACGCGGGATATAGAGAGTGTGCACGTGGGATATAGAGAGTGTGCACGTGGGATATAGAGTGCACGTGAGATCCAGAGACAGTGCGAACGCGGGATATAGAGAGTGTGCACACGGGATATAGAGAGTGTGCACACGGGATATAGAGAGAGTGTGCACGTGAGATACAAAGAGAGTCTGCATGCGAGATATAGAGAGTGCATGCGAGATATCAAGACAGTGCGCACGCGGAATATAGAGAGAGCGTGCATGCAGGATATAGAGTGTGCACGCAGGATATGGAAAGTGTGTGCACGCGAGACACAGAGAGAGTATGCATGTGGGGTATAGAGGGAGTGTGCACACGGGATAAAGAGAGAGTGTGCACGCGGGATATGGAGGGAATGTTCACGTGTGCGCACAAGTGTTTGAGTGTGTGTCTGTGCGCGCGAGGGTGTGTATGTGAGGGTGTGTATGTCTGTGCCCGTAAGTTTCTGTGCTATTTATATATGGGCACACAACCTTGCGGGCACACATTCTCGCGGCGTACACACACCCTCCCATACAAAGACACACAGAAACTCGGGCGTGTGCAAACACTCACACCCTCGGGCGCACATTAAAAATACCAGCCAGCAGCCACTGAACACCAGCCACTACACACCAGCCGCAGCCACTAAACACCAGCCACAGCCACTAAACACCCGCTACAGCCACTAAACACGAGCCAGCAGCCACTAAACACCAGCCACAGCCACTAAAACACCGGCCACAACCACAAAACACCGGCCACAGCCACTAAACACCAGCCACTAAACACTGGCCACAGCCACTAAACACCAGCCACTAAACACCGGCCACAGCCACTAAACACCGGCCACTAACCACCAGCCACCACTAAACACCAGCCAAGCAGCCACTAAAACACCACGCCACAGCCACTAAACACCGGCCACAGCCACTAAACACCGCACACCACAACACGCCAGCACCACTAAACACCGAGCCACAGCCACTAAACACTGGCCACAGCCACTAAACACCGGCCACAGCCACTAAACACCGCAGCCACAGCCACTAAACACGCGCCCACAGCCACTGAACACGAAGCCAGCAGCCACTAAACACCGAGCCCAGCAAAACAGCCACAGCCACTGAACACGAGCCAGCAGCCACTAAACACGAGCCACAGCCACTAAACACCAGACACAGCCCTAAACACCGCCCGCAACTAAACACAGCCACAGCCATAAACACCGGCCACACCACTAACACCGGCGCACCCACAACACCAGACCACAGCCACTAAACACCAGCGCTACAGCCACTAAACACAGGCACAGCCACTAAACACCGGCCACAGCCACTAAACACCCCACAGCCACTAAAAACCAGCCACAGCCACTAAACACCAGCCACAGCCACTAAACACCAGCCACAGCCACTAAACACCGGCCACTAAACACAGCCACAGCCACTAAACACCGGCCACAGCCACTAAACACCGGCCACAGCCACTGAACACCAGTTAGTAGGCACTGAATAACAGCCACAGCCACTGAACACCAGCAACAGATGCGCTCACACAGACATACAGAAACACAGACACTCGGGCGAACATACACAGACACACACACATGCAGATCAACATACACATACATAACTATATAACAGACACTCTTCTCAGTTATCTTCCCTTCTTCTCCTCAAGCTCCGCCACTATCCCTCCTGTGCCTTGCAAACCCGTCTTCCTGCCCTTTCCTCACACTCCAGGTATTTCCAACTGTTATATTCCTTGTGAGACAATAACCACACCAAGTAATTGTTTCCATCAAATTGTTTTCTTTATTAATCCACAATAATAGCGAAATCTCTATCAGATTGCATTCTGCTACTATGCGCTGGAAATAAAACTACAAACACAGAATACTCTGCTGATATAAAATACATTACCCACGATATAAATCAGCAAACACACAGCAAACTGGTGGGTAATAACCCAATTCAGACCCATTCTGTTGGTAATGAACAAGGAAGGATACCCGAACCTGTTGGTAAAAGACCAGAGCTGTAACCTGTGATGTGAGCTGTAACAGTGGAGGCCATGACTTGTGTCAGTGGGACACACCGGCTCTGATTTCTCATCGTGCAATTCTGTTTTGCTTTCTCTGGTGATAGTCTCACGTGTGCACAACAGCTGTGTGTTAGTGACTGCAGCACATGGTCAGGTGAGAAGGGGAAAACTATCATTTGTTCTTTTAACTGAGAATCACTGGTATTCGATCAAATGGATATATTGCTGTGTATCAAAAAAAACATTATTTCCTTAATCTCAAAGCAACTTCTCATTTTAACTTTGAACAGCTCCAGGAAAGCTTTCCTCCAGTGGTAACATCTTTCAGAGCATTTGTGATCATTCTTCTGCTTGGAATCAGCAAATTATTCCCACATTCAAGACATTTATATAGTCTCTCCTCTACGCCCTTTCTGGTGTGTTTGGAGGTACTGTTTCATAGTGAAACTCCTTCCACATTCAGTACACTTGTATGGTCTCTCTCCATATGTGTGTGATCGCTGGTGTACCTGAAGATTTCCTGATGTTGTGAAACTCTTCCCACATTCAGGACATTTATACGGTCTCTCTCCGGTGTGTGATCGCTGGTGTATCTGGAGATTCCTTGATGACGTGAAACCCTTCCCACATTCAGCACATTCAAACGGTTTCTCTCCTGTGTGTGATCGTTGGTGTACCTTGAGGTCCCCTGACAGTGAGAAACTTTTTCCACATTCAGCACAATTATACGGTCTCTCTCCTGTATGTGATCGATGGTGTAACTTGAGGTTCCCCGACTGTGTAAAACTCTTACCACATTCGCCACATTTATACGGTCTCTCTCCTGTGTGTAATCGCTGGTGAATTTGGAGGGCACCCGAGTGTGTGAACGTCTGCCCACATTCTGCACACTTATACGGTCTCTCTCCTGTGTGTAATCGATAGTGAACCTTAAGCTCCCCTGATGTTGTAAAATTCTTCGCACATTCACTACATTTATACGGTCTCTCTCCCGTGTGTGATTGCTTGTGTCTTAGGAGGGCACCTGACTGTGTGAAACTCTTTCCACATCCAGCACATTTATACGGTTTCTCTCCTGTGTGTAATCGATGGTGAACGTAGAGGTTGCTTGATGTTGTGAAACTTTTTCCACAATCAGCACATTTATACGGTTTCTCTCCCGTGTGTGACCGTTGGTGAATGCGGAAGTTCTTTGATGATGTGAAACTCTTTTCGCATTCGGCACATTTATACGGTCTCTCTCCTGAGATCGATCGCTGGTGACTCTGCATAAACCCCTTTTCTGCAACAGTATACGTGATAGATCCCTGACACTCTCTCTGCGGTGAAGAAACATTTTCGCTACAGGCAGATTGTGTTGATGTGTCTCGACGGAGCTCGGGATGTCTTCTGCTGTCTTTCTGACAGAACTCGGTATGAGTAAACACAACGTTGCAATGAGGGCGAGAGTGAGACTCAGGATCATCCACTTTGGGAGCTGATGGGAGAAAAGATCTGTGTCAGCAACTTATGAGAGTTTCCTTTTGGAATTGCTGTTTGACCAATCCTGAATTGGTCCTGGCATTTGTACAGTACATGATCAAGTCAAAACACTCTAACTGATGGATAGTAATTACTCTGAAATGTTCTGGTCAGTTTCTCCCAGTTTCCTGGCCAGTCGTCATCTACACTAATCATTTTAATGCTGGGAATATGTTGTGTTGTCGGAGGTACTGTCCTTTAGATGAAATGTTAAACCGAGATCCCTGGCCAGGCCTGTTCAGGTGGATGTTAAACATCCCACATCACGATTTCTAAAGAGAAGAGAGTTTTTCTCTTTTATTCTCTTACCCACAATGTCGTGGCTGATAATGTAAAATCAGGTACTTATACAGCACAGAAGGAGGCCATTCAGCACACCAGGCCCATGCCTTCTCTTGAAAGGTATGTTCAAATTAATCCCACTCCCCCGTTATCCCTCCAAAACAAAGAACAATAATACATTGGTCATTTTCAATCCACGACTGTTTGTGGGACACTGTTGTGCGCAATTGGCTGCCGCGATTTGCCCACAAATATACGGTCAATTCACTTTACAGAATATTCTGTTAAGCGCTTTGAGACGTCTAGAAAGCTTGAAAAGTGCTATATCAAAAGAAAGGATTACTATTATTATTATTATCTCAACATAGCTTTGCAAATTTGTCCTCCCCAAATATGCATCCACTTCTCTCTTGAAAGTTGTTATCAAATCTGCTTCCACTATCCAGATCTGAACACAGATATCCCAATAAAATTGGTCAATTCGTTCTTAGCTATTTGGGAGATATAGCTGTGTGTAAATTGGCTGTTGGAGTCACCGCACTTTACAGTAACCACTTTTGGATGTCTTGATGATGTGATAAGATGCTATATAAAATTTCCAATATCCCTAGGATCTATCATATTTGTCTGAAGAGATATAGAGGGGGACTTTAGCTTAAAGCTCGGGGCTCATGACAATGTAAAGCTCTTTCCCCAGTAACTTGACTTGAGTAGAATAGACTATGAGCTCATAGTCCTGACATGTGCCTTGAGCCAAACCGCAGAAGCGAGCATGGAGCTGACTGAGTCCAGACTAACACTTGGAACACTGAAAATGTCCATTTCAGCATTCACAGGAACTTCTCATGAAAGTGACAAACATTTAACTGCAAAGTAACCTCTCACGATGCAGTGAAACTTTCAATGTGTGATCACAACCGTTGGAATACAACAATAATAAATTATTGTTTTTAATAACGCCAATAATGTCAAATTTCTCAAAGCTCCCGGAGGGATACGTCATGCATATGCTTTGGCTTGCAGGTTAAACAGAGTACGATTCAGTCTCTTTCTTCCGGAGTTCCTGTGACTCGCTCCTTCCTCTTTGACCTTACTTCCCTCCCCATTCCTCTTGGCTTCTACCCTAAGCCACAATAGTCCATCACATTGAGACATCCTCTTAACAAAAGGCACTCTGTCAATGTAAATCTGTACTGTATTGAGTAGAGGGCAACCAACTGAGCCAGGCTGACATCTGCCCGATTCTGCACTGGAGCATGTTATGCTGAGAAACTCAGATTGCTTTGTTACATACACAGGTAGTCATCCTCAGGAAGATTCCTTTCGTCAGTGCAATTTCTTCTCTCCCTCTTTGTCAAACAGTATCTGCTGCTCCCGGCCTCTCCTCCACTCGCTTGGTTGTGTTTTGAGCTCAAAATCTTTCCGGTTCGGCCTCCTGTGAAGTAAATTTTAAAAAAGGAGCAGCATTGAGAACCATAGTGTACACAGAGACATGAAAGTTCTCACAACTCTTGGCCATTATTCCACAAATAAAGATGGTGTAACATTTTTGGACAATTCAGTTCAGTGTTAACTGAACTCACAGTCAAGACTGAGACTCCAGTGTCGGAGCTGAGGGGAAATGCTGTATTGTCCTTTATGAAATACTGACTGTACCAACTGCAGCTTCGCTTGCAGCCAAAGCATCCAATATGGAGTGTAGACGGACACAAAGAGACACAGACAGACATTCATCCGTATCTATACGCATCTGGGAGGACCCTTGTGGGAGGACTCATTCTGGACTTGCTGTTGTTTGAATGTGCAACTCATTTTGGTGCACTATTGCAGTCTTTCCAGCAATGAGTGGAGCTGTGCTGTTCTTTGTTCTTCAATTTCATTTGATGGACCTTCTCTCTTTTCCTGAGATTTTTACTCATCCTTGAAAGGTTTGATTTCCGCTTGGTCACCTTTATGATGATCAATATAAATGTATAATTTATGATCACTGGGCGTGTCCTCCCAATGGGAAAGTCGCTTTAAAAATGTAAAGTTGTGGTTGCAGTGGCTTAGCTTAGTCTGTGTTCCTTATTTTGTTCCCGCCACTGCTTGTCTACACGAGTGATCTTTGACATGGTCAGAAAGACACATTTTCTGAGCTCACAGTTTCTGTGTCGCTTTTCCCAGGAAGAATACCTTTCTTAGATATTTTGAGATGTTTATTTTCACCAACTGAGAATCCTCCTCCTTTTGCCCAGAACGCTCTCTTCATTTGCTGAACCTGTTGCTTCAGTCACGACTCTTTTGGAGTCACCTCCATCCTCAGCTGATCCTGACGGGATGGGTGAGCTCTCCTTTTTGCTCTGAAATACAGAACGTAAGAACAGGGAAGAACATAATAAGTGTGTCAGTCTGGATCGGTCTGTCCCACTCTCGCGTCTGTGCCACAAGGTTGGGGGGGGTTCAAGCTCCACGTCAGGAGCTGACACTGCAATGCAATGCTGGGGGTGAGCTGCCGCCCTTCGGAGGAGGTCCCATTTAGCTGCGCAGGTGGAGCATTCCTCCTGATGTGAAAAGCACATCTCCCTGATGAAGCCGGAGGGACGGATCACAGCGTTCAGGACAGACCGGACGGACAGATTAGGCCTTTCTTCACTGAGAAAAGATGTTCAAGAGGGGACCTAATAGAGGGGTTTAAAATTATAAAATGGTTTCATAAGGTCAGCACAGATAGGCTGTTCCTACTTGTTGGGAAACCCGTAACCGGGGACACAAGTATCAGATCACTATGGGATGTAAATGAGATGGATTCAGATCCGATAGTTTGCGGATGACACCCAACTCGACCTCTCTGTGGCACTTGCTGTTTGATGTGAGGAGGATAGAGGGGGATTGAGAGGGGTTTCATCACATCCGGGCTGGACCATGCCAACTCCCTGCTTGTCGGCCTTCACAACTCTTCCCTCCACAAGCGGCCAAACCTCTCCTGCACCCGGCTCCGTGCCCCCGAACCCCACCCTCGCCCTCCACTGGCTCCCCGACCCCCAGAGGATAGAGGTCCAAATCCTTGTCCTCGCCTTAATACCCTCCATGGCAGTGCCCTGCGACCTCTGGGACCTGCTGACCCGACATCAACCGGTCCGCTCCCTCCGTCCAGCAGTTCCCGCTGCTCCACGTACCCCACCTGGAGCCCAACCACCATCAGGAGCCGGGCCTCTGGGTCCCCGTGAACTCTATCCTCCATTCCCTTTGGCTTTCTCTCTCTCTCTCTCTCTCTCTCCCACACTCTCTACCGCGCTCTCCTATACTCACAGGCGCGCGCTCCCTCCTGCACCCGCGCGCTCCCTCCTGCACCCGCGCGCTCCCTCCTGCATCCGCGCGCTCCCTCCTGCATCCGCGCGCTCCCTCCTGCATCCGCGCGCTCCCTCCTGCACCCGCGCGCTCCCTCCTGCACCCGCGCGCTCCCTCCTGCATCCGCGCGCTCCCTCCTGCATCCGCGCGCTCCCTCCTGCACCCGCGCGCTCCCTCCTGCATCCGCGCGCTCCCTCCTGCACCCGCGCGCTCCCTCCTGCACCCGCGCGCTCCCTCCTGCACCCGCGCGCTCCCTCCTGCATCCGCGCGCTCCCTCCTGCATCCCCGCGCTCCTCCTGCATCCGCGCGCTCCCTCCTGCATCCGCGCGCTCCCTCCTGCATCCGCGCGCTCCCTCCTGCATCCGCGCGCTCCCTCCTGCATCCGCGCGCTCCCTCCTGCACCCGCGCGCTCCCTCCTGCACCCGCGCGCTCCCTCCTGCATCCCGCGCCCTCCTGCATCCGCGCGCTCCCTCCTGCATCCGCGCGCTCCCTCCTGCATCCGCGCGCTCCCTCCTGCATCCGCGCGCTCCCTCCTGCACCCGCGCGCTCCCTCCTGCACCCGCGCGCTCCCTCCTGCACCCGCGCGCTCCCTCCTGCACCCGCGCGCTCCCTCCTGCACCCGCGCGCTCCCTCCTGCATCCGCGCGCTCCCTCCCACACGCGTTTGTCCCCCATACACGCTCTCACACACATTCTCCCCCACGCACGTACTCTAATAATAATAACAATCCTTGCATTTGATTTCACGTCTTCTCGACGTCCCAAAGCGCTTCACAGAATATACTGTAAAGTGAATTGACTGTATATTTGTGGGCGAACGCGGCAGCCAATTGCGCACAGCAATGTCCCACAAACAGTCGTGGATTGAAAATGACCAATTTATTATTGTTTTGTTTTTTGGAGGGAATATTATCCCTCACTCACACACTCTCACACACACACTCTCACACATACTCTCATGGACACTCACACACTCACGCACTCTCTCAAGCGCACACACTCACACTCTCTCACACGCACACTCTCTCACACTTACATGCACTCTCACATGCACTCTCACACTCACACACACTTTTACACGCACTCTCACATGCACTTTCATGCATACTCACACACACTCACTCGCACACACTCTTACACCGACACTCGCACACATTGCACACACTCGCGCACACACACCCATTCTCACACACACTCACGCACTCTCATACACGTGCACGCACACACTCGCACACACTCACGCGCACATACTCTCACGCGCACACTCACTCTCACGCGCACACTCACTCTCACGCGCACACTCACTCTCACGCGCACACTCACTCATTCTCACACACACTCACACATCCACACTCTCACGCACTCATGCAACGCTCTCACACACTCACACTCGCACACACTCTCGCACCGACACTCTCAAACACTCGCTCTCACACACTCGCTCTCACACATTCTCACACTCTCATATACACACACTCTCACACTCATTCTCACACTCACACGCACTCTCTCACACACTCTCACTCACACACTCTCACACCCACACACACTCTCACGCACTCTCACACTGTCACATGCTCACACCGACACTCTCAAACACTCACACACTCTCACTCACTCTCACTGTCGCTCTCACACACACTCTCTCTCACACTCTCTCTCTCTCCCTCTCTGTCTGTCGGTCACGGACCTGATCGGTGACTCTGGATCTCAGTGACTCGGCCATGTTTGTGTTTCTCCAACCGTCACTCTGTCTCCGCCCACTCGCTCCTCATTGGTCCTGTTCAGCTCCCGCCCCCAACGCCAGAGCTTCCCAATGGTCAAACGAGATGTCAATCACGTGCCGCTCTGTGACGAGTGCGCGTCCACGTCAATCATCTTCCCTCCGCCCCGCCTCTCGCGCGCTTTCTCCAACCGTCACCCTCTGTCCCGCCCACTCGCATATTATTGGTTGCTTCAAACCCGCTCCAGCTTTCCATTGGTCAGTGCGGCTGTCAATCAGATCCCCACTCGGTCATTACCCGCTCCATCCCCCTCCCCCCGCCCCCCGCTCGCACTGCCATTGGTTGTTGCATAACACCCGCCTTCTCAGCCTTAGTCTTCTATTGGAAGGACGAGGCGATCGCTCGCCGCTCTGTGCTCTGATTGGCTGACGTGCACGTCACTCGCAATTGTAATTTGCGTCGACGTTTCGGGTCCTCGAGCCCTTCAGTGACCATTCGTTCCCTTCAAAACCCCGCGGCCGTGTGTGTGGGTCACCGTCGCGTGCGATTGGCCGCCGCGTTTGGCCCCAAATATACGGTCAATTCGCTTTACGGTGTATTCTGTGAAGCGCTTTGAGACGCCTCGAAGATGTGATGATGATAATAATAATAATAATCCTCGCATTGATATAGCGCTTTTCACGTCTTCTCAACGTCCCAAAGCGCTTCACAGAATAGACTGTAAAGTGAATTGACCGTAACTTCCATCACCTCCGAATCACGGCACTACCCCACCCCTCACACGGCTGAAACTCTGGTCCACACCTTTATCACCTCAAGGCCGGACTATGGGAACTCTCTCCTCGCGGCCTTCCCGGCACTGCCCTCCACACTGCAGGTCACTCAGGACTCTGCTGCTCGTGCCGCCGCGTGGAGTCCTGTAGCTCAGTGGTTAGAGCACTCGCTTTGCAAGTGAGAGACCTGAGTTCAATTCCAGGCAGAGGGCGAAACCTCGGGCAAGTTTCCTTACTCCACACAGAGCCTAATAACAATCCCTCCAAAACCAAAAACAATAATAAATTGGTCATTTTCAATCTACGACTGTTTGTGGGACATTGCTGTGCGCAATTGGCTGCCGCGTTCGCCCACAAATATACAGTCAATTCACTTTACAGTGTGTTCTGTGAAGCGCTTTGGGACGTCCTCTCCCGACGCGAAAAGCGCTATATCAAATGCAAGGATTATTACTGTCCCGCACCAGGCTTCGTGACCACATCACCCCCACCCTCGCTCCCCTCCACTGGCTCCCCATCCCCCAGAGGATCCAATTCAAGATCCTCATCCTCACCTACAAGGCCATTCACGGCCTCGCTATCTCCTACCTCTCCAACTTACTATCCCCCTACTTACCTGCCCGTACCCTCCGTTCCTCTGGCTCCGGTCTGCTCCACATCCCCCGCCCCAACCGCCCGACCATCGGTGGCCTTCAGCCTCTCAGCCCCGAGGCTCTGGAACTCCATCCCCAGTGCCTTCGCTGCTTCCTCCCTTTCCTCCTTCAAGGCCGATCTCAAGACCTTTCTCTTTGACTGAGCCTTCAGCTCCACTCTCGACTCTATTACCCCTCCTCGCTCCCTCCCTTCCCTCACACTGACCATCTCCCCCCTCCTCGCTCCCTCCTCCCCTCACCCTGACCATCTCCCTCCCCCAATGCTCAGGTCCCGACCCAACTGTCCAGCGCTTTGGGACGTTCTCCCAACCTGAAAGGTGCTCTATAAATGCAATCATGTTGTTGTTGTTGTTGTCCATCACTGGTTGCCATGGAGGCAGTGGGCGTGTCTCTCCCTCTCCTGTCCATCACTGGTTGCCATGGAGGCAGTGGGCGTGTCTCTCCCTCTCCTGTCCATCACTGGTTGCCATGGAGGCAGTGGGCGTGTCTCTCCCTCTCCTGTCCATCACTGGTTGCCATGGAGGCAGTGGGCGTGTCACTCCCTCTCCTGTCCATCACTGGTTGCCATGGAGGCAGTGGGCGTGTCGCTCCCTCTCCTGTCCATCACTGGTTGGCATGGAGGCAGTGGGCGTGTCGCTCCCTCTCCTGTCCATCACTGGTTGCCATGGAGGCAGTGGGCGTGTCTCTCCCTCTCCTGTCCATCACTGGTTGCCATGGAGGCAGTGGGCGTGTCTCTCCCTCTCCTGTCCATCACTGGTTGCCATGGAGGCAGTGGGCGTGTCGCTCCCTCCTGTCCCTCTTTGACCGTGTCTTCAGCTCCGCTCTGGACTCTCCCTCCCTCCCTCCCCTCACACTGACCATCTCCCCCCTCCTCGCCCCCTCCCTCCCTCTCCTCACCCTGACCATCCCCCCCCCATTGCTCGGGTCCTGACCCAACTGTCCAGCGCCTCGGGACGTCCTCCCGACGTGAAGGGCGCTCTATAAATGGAATCTTGTCGTTGTCCATCACTGGTTGCCGGGGAGACAGAGCCCGAGGGGGAGAGGGGGAGCGGGAGGACAGAGAGGAACGCGGCGGCGGCGGCGGCGGCGGGAGGTCAGTCACTGCGCACACGGGACTCTCCGCCTCTGTGACATCACAATCACAGCCACAGCCCGGGACACAGACCCCGGAAACTACAGCTCCCGGCATGCCTCGCGGCTCAGCGCCCGCTGGTGACGCGAGTCGGGCCGCGCGGGGCAGCCTGGGAGCTGTAGTCGGAGGGTGAAAGGGACAGATCCATCGACCCACAGCCACTGTCTGTCTGTCTCTCTCACACACACACACACACACACACATGTCCTCTCTCTCTCTCTCTGCCTCTGTCTCTGGTCATCAGAAATCACAGCCACTCACATATACACACTCACAATCACACACTCACTGGGACACACACACACACTCACATATACACACTGACAATCACACACTCACTGGGACACACACACACACACACTCACATATACACACTCACAATCACACACTCACTGGGACACACACAAACACTCACATATACACACTCACAATCACACACTCACTGGGACACACACACACACTCACATATACACACTCACAATCACACACTCACTGGGACACACACACACACTCACATATACACACTGACAATCACACACTCACATATACACACTCACAATCACACACTCACTGGGACACACACAAACACTCACATATACACACTCACAATCACACACTCACTGGGACACACACACACACTCACATATACACACTGACAATCACACACTCACTGGGACACACACACACACTCACATATACACACTCACAATCACACACTCACTGGGACACACACAAACACTCACATATACACACTCACAATCACACACTCACTGGGACACACACACACACTCACATATACACACTCACAATCACACACTCACTGGGACACACACACACACTCACATATACACACTCACAATCACACACTCACTGGGACACACACACACACTCACATATACACACTCACAGGGACACACACACTCACATATACACACTCACCATCACACACTCACAAATACTCTCACATACACAAATACACACAGAAACACCGCAGTCTCTGTTTCTCTGTGTTTCTGATCAGAATATAACAATAATAATAATACTTTGCATTTGATATATCGATTGATCACATCTTCGAGACGTCTCAAAGTCCATAACGAAGCTCTTCCCCGGATACTCGGTAATGTGTAGTGACTTTATATTTTGTGGGCGAAAAGCAGCAGCAGCAGAACGTGAGTGCGACACGAATAGTCATGGAGTAAGTGACAAAATTATTATTATTATTTTGAAGGGTCTATATCCCTCCCGGAAAGCCGATCCTCATTCGACGAACAACCTGGATTCTACTTTGCTGTCAGGTAAACAGAGACGTGTGGAGCACACGGTGAGAGTCAAATTTCAGTCGTGTTTCAGACCATAAGTGGCCTGAGAGCTGCCGCTTGCCTGTCCAGCAGGAGGGAACCCACAGGAGGAAATGGAACACAAAAGAGTAGAAATGAGAACTAACATAGTAAAGATCAAAATAGAAAGCAGAAAATTAACCCATAGATTATTGAAGTGCTTTTTATAGTGAATACTTATTGTGGATCCTATATTACCTGAAGACTAGGTGTTTGCTCATGTGCCGAGCACAGGTCAGCAGGTAAAGTGTTCACAGATTCATGTTGGAATGTGTGACCATTTTCATATTTTATTGAATATTTATAACCTTTGTTGCTGAAACTATCTCAACACAGTTGAAGTCTTAAAATCGATGTCGGAAATTTATAGTTGCAGGAACTTGTCAGATGACTGGAGTTGATTATGTGAGAGGCACCACTCCCTTTTATTGAGAGTCAGGTTTCAGAAAAGTTTCGGATGACAAACAGTCTGAGAGTTACCGCAGGAGGGTTAGGTTGCAGCTGGTTCTGGAGACTGAGAGGTGAGGAGATAGAACATATCCTATTGGAGTGGTTCCGGTTGGTGGGGTGGGGTGGGGGGGATAAGCAGAGTTTGAAGCCCAACTGGGTCTAATATGTCCTGTTTGGCAATGGAATATGATAATATAGTTAAGGTGATGGTCTCTAGTCGTTGGTCCGCAGTATTGCAGGGAACTGCTGTTGATAGTACAGCCCTGCCTGGCTCACTTGGAAGGGCAGACCTATAAGACCATAAGACGTAGGAACAGGAGCAGGCCATTCGGCCCCTCGAGCCTGCCCCGCCATCTAATAAGATCAGGGCTGATCTTCTAACCTAATTCAATTTACCCGCCCTATCCCCATATCCTTTAATCCCTCTATCCTTTAGAAATCTATCAATCTCAGTTTTGAATATGTTCAAGGGCTGAGCATCGAGAACCTTCTGGAGTGGAGAATTCCACTAATTTACTACCCTCTGAATGAAGAAATGTTTCCTCAACTCAGTTTGAAAAGGCTGAGCCTTAATCTTGAGACTATGACCCCTAGTTTCAGATTCTCCAACCAGAAGAAATGGCATCTACCCCGTGAAGACCCTTAAGCATCTTACAGGTTTCTATAAGATCACCTCTGAACTCTTCTATATTCTGGAGAATATAGGCCTAGTTTCCTCAACCTATCCTCATAGGTCAACTCCCTCTTCCCAGGAACCAACCTAGTGAATCTACGCTGCACCCCTCAAAGACAAGTATGTCCTTTCTTAAATAAGAAAGTTATTTGAACTACACGCAATATTTTAGGTGCCGTCTCACCCAGGCCTTATACAACTGCAGCAAAACTTCCCTACTCTTGTATTTAACCTTTTTGCAATGAACGCCAACGTGGCATTAGCCTTTCTAATTGCTTCCTGTACCTGCACACTAACTTTTTGTAACTGCTGTACAAGGACACCCAAATCCCTCTGAACACTAACCCTACCTTGTCCTTCCTAGAAGATAATCCACCTTTCACTGGTGGCAGTGAATGATCCCATTCAGCTCCTGTTAACCCTGCAACACTGTGACAGACACCCGGGTGACATAGAGAAATCCAAGCTCCACTTCAAAGCACAAATAAGGTTTTTGATAGTAATTTGATGCAGAGAAAAATAATGTGACCCTGTCTTCAAACTGCAGCTCCTGCTCTTCCCTCGAGTGTATAAAGTGCTCTGCGGGGCTGGAGTCCTGCTCCCTCGCTGAGACTAATTACATCTCCCTTACCACGGAGAGGCTGCTTGTCTGAACGTCACTGTTACCCGGAGGTAACTTAAATTACCTCCGGGTAATTTAAATGGTATAAATGCAGGTTGTTGTCCTTCTTAATGTGAGGATTTTTTGTCTATTCACAAAATATACAATCAATTGACTTTACAGTGTATTCTGTGAAGGGCTTTGAGAAGTTTTGCTGACATGATAAGGCGCTGTGTCAAATGTAAGGATTACTATATTAACTTTCTCTCTACTGAGAGTCACAAATAATTTAGTGCAGCGCTGATAGCTTGCAGGTGTTTGGTCAAGGAAAACCCCTCTCGCCTCAGGGCTTCAGCAGCTGTGAGGTGCTGTGGGTGCGGTAGGTCTTGTCTCTCACCAGAGCCATCTCCACTTGCCCTGGGATCCAAGATGGGGTCCACAGAATCATGATACACAAAAGCTTGGATAAGACGGGCAAAGGACGTCCCTGAAGTGGCCCTGACCCTCATGGCCACCTGCGTGTGTGACTATGAGTGTGTATTGTGTGTGCGTGTGTGTGACTGTGTGTGTGGTGCTGTGTTTGTGAGGCTGGGATGTGTGTGTATGTATGTTGTGTGTGAGACGTCTGTGTGTTTGTGTGAAAGGGTGTATGTGTCTGTGTGCGAAGCTGTGCTGGGCTTCTCCCTGCAGCCGGGGTTAAGAAAGATGGGCTGGTTGGTCTGCCACAGCCAGAGCCATAGCTCCTGTCCTTGCTCGAGAAATTCCTGGAAACCCATCACCGTGATCAGCCAGGGGTCTGACACACACGAAAATCCATCACCTTGATCAGCAATGTGTCTGATGTACGTGGAAATCCATCACGTGGAGTCCTGTAGCTCAGTGGTTAGAGCGCTCGCTTTGAAAGCGAGAGACCCGAGTTCAATTCCAGGCAGAGGGTGAAACCTTGGGCAAGTTTCCTTACTCCACACAGAGCCTAATAATAATCCCTCCAAAACCAAAAACAATAATAAATTGGTCATTTTCAATCTACGACTGTTTGTGGGACATTGCTGTGCGCAATTGGCTGCCGCGTTCGCCCACAAATATACAGTCAATTCATATTACAGTGTGTTCTGTGAAGCGCTTTGGGAAGTCCTCCCGACGTGAAAAGCACTATATAAAATGCAAGGATTATTATTATTATTATTATCACTGTAATCAGTCGGGTGTCTGACACACGTGGAAATCCGTCACTGCTAATTTTCCTTTCTGCAAAACTGCAAATATAGTAAATTTACATAAACCAAAGAAGGTGTCTGGTCAGGGTAAGGATTGTACAAATGAAATGTGTGGTGACTGTTCCTGAACTGTTTAAGGAGGTGAAAAAAAATGTTGGTTTGTGTGGCAATCCCTCAGTGGCAGGGTGTGGCTATGATTTACTGCCAGATAGTATCTGCTGGACTGTGACCAGGTGTGTTATTACCTGTACAGCCCAGAAAACTGAAGGTACATCACTGAGAGGCTCGAGAACCAGAGGCAGGAACTGCCACCCAGGCAGCGGGGAGACAAGACGGTGAGTCTCATTAAATCTGATTGTGGCTGAAATGAATCAGTAAAGTTACTGCAGGTTTTAAGCACTTGAAAACATGAGTGAAACAATATAAATGCTAATGTATCTTCATGGTTAGAGCACTCGCCTCGCAATAGAGAGAAGCCGGGTTTGAGTCCCAAACAGTGCGAAGTGTTAGGCAAGTTTCCTTACTCCACACGCCTCTGTTTACCTCGCAGTAAGCAGAAACCCGGCTGAGAGTCAATTGACGGATCACTTTTCCGGGGTTAATAATCATTTCAAAATAAAAAAGTAAATAATAACTGGGCTACTCAATCCACGACTATTTGTGGGACGTTGTCCGCAACTGGCTACCACGATTTGCCCACAAAATACATAGACAATTCAATTTACAGTACAAGTATATCCTGTGTAGCACTTTGGTATGCATTGACCACCTGTCTCTGCAAGGAGAGACTGCAAATCCCACGCCAACAATCTATCTTTGGGATTTCCATGTGTAGGTGGGATGTGCGGAAATCTGAGTTTGGTTTCGACACTGTTCAGCGTGTTGATAATTTCTCGGCAACCGGCTGACCAAAATAAAAACAATTCTATTCAGATTCAAACCACACTGCTGTTGATTCCTCCGAGACACTAACCAGATGAAGGGAGTTGTATTGTTGGTGCTACTATTGTTCTGGTGTCTACTCTGAGTCTTCTCATTTCGTGGGTGACTCCCCACAGCTAATGTAACGCTGGTTTATGGCTCATCCCTCTAACCCTAAGGATCAGTCTGCTCAGAATCTGGAGACGGTGTAGAGAAGCTGGAATTGAATGCTTCTCACTTGATTTCACCCTGTGGGAAATCAGACTATTATGTTTCAGTCTACAATCGTACCCACCGGATGCCGCCATTTTCTTTCTCTTTCCCCACAAGTAGAAATGATTTTTTGATAAAATGGTTCTCATGTTGTTGACTTTTAAGGACCTCAATGAAACCGGAACTAACTTCCTGGTCGCAAGTCCAGAGTCCAAACCCCAGTTACATTAACTAAAAATATTCATATAAGTCAACATTGCATATTGGCTTTGATAACGTTTCACTGACTATTACACAAATGAGGTTCAAAGAGCATGAACAGCAGATTGGACACATTGTGGAGTCCTATAGCTCAGTAGTTAGAGCACTCACCTTTGCAAATGAGACAACTGGGTTCAATTCCAGACAGGGCGAAACTTTGGGCAAGTTTCCTTACTCCACATCCTAACAATAATCCCTGCAAAATAAAATAGATAAATAATAAATTGGTCATTATCAATGCAGGACTGTTTGTGCGACACTGCTGTGTGCAATTGGCTGCCGGGTTTCACCCACAAATACACGGTCAATTCACTTTACAGTCTATTCTGTGAAGCGCTTTGTGATGTCTAGAACAAGTGAAAAGAGCTATATCAAATGGAAGGATTATTATTATTATTAGAGCACAACACTTTGAATTAGGCAGTTTACTGAAATAATCCGAAGAGATGGTTGAAGTTGGAGGTGGGAATTCCACATAGGTGTTAGTCCGACGATGGATAGAAAGCCTATTGTCTGGGGAAGAGAAATATTTACAACAACTTACATTTAAATAGCGACCCTCACATTAAAACCTCTTCTCCCCAGTTTTGTTTCAACCCACCCACCTTTTGTTTTACAATCTCCGCTTTTTGTTTTACGCCACTGTCACCTCTTTAACCCATCAACTAACACATTCTCTCCCTTTGTCTTCTTTTCTGTCTTCTTTGTTGTCCTTGACCTGCCTCCCACTCTCAACTTGTCCTTAGAAACCTCTCCCTCCCAACAGGCCCTAGCTCTGACGAAGTGTCCTAGACACAAAACGTTGACTCACTTTCCTTTCTCCATAGATGCTGCCTGCCCTGCTGAGTTTTCCCAGCTCTTTCTGTTATTGTATAACACAAGCAAACTTGCCTAAGGTTTCGCGCTGACCCACTCGGCTAACAAAGTCCTCTCGTTTACGAGGCGAACGCTCTAACCGCTGAGTTACAGGACTGCTGCCGTTTGCTACAGGTATGCGCTCATCTCAGCTTTCCTTTGTTTAAGAGATTTTGCACATATTCCACTTACTCTCATATTGACACACAAAGACACACAGTGTAAGAGAGAGTGTGTGACCAATTTATTATTGTTTTGCTTTCTTGAGGGATTATTATCATGTGTGTGACAGAGAACATGAAAGAAACTGTATGAGAGAGAGTGAGTGCGCGTGAGAGAGAGCGTGTGAGACAAAACATGTGAGACAGTACATGTGTGTCAGAGCAAGGGAGACAGAGCGTGTGAGACAGATTTTGTGGGACAGAGAGTGTGTGAGAGAGAGCTTGTGCGAAAGTGCATCGTAGAGAGCGCGGTTATGTGAGAGAGCTTGTGAGACAGTGCCTGCGAGGCAGTGTGTGAGATTGTGCCTGAGTGCGAGTGCATGAGAGACTGTGCATGAGAGAGCGCGTGTGCGAGATTGTGAGGGAGTGCGAGAGTGCGTGAGAGAGAGTACGTGAGAGAGAATGCGTGAGAGTGAATTCGAGAGAGGGAGTGCGTGAGAGACTGTGTGAGTATGAAAGATTGTGTGAGTGAGAGAGAATGTGAGACGGTGCGAGGGTGTGAGCGTGTGAGAGTGCAAGAGTTCGTGAAAGAGAGTTTGTGAGATAGAGTGTGTGAGACAGTGCGGTGCGTTACAAGAATGCCTCATAATGGGTGTGTGAGAGACTTTGCTTGAGAGAAAGTGCATGTGAGAGAGTGTGTGATTGAGAGAGTGTGCGTGAGAGAGAGTGCATGTGAGAGAGTATGTGATTGAGAGAGTGTGCGTGAGAGAGAGTGCATGAATGCGTGAGAGAGAGTTTGTGAAAGAGAATGTGTGAGAGAGTGCATGAGTGAAATAGCATGAGAGAGAGTTTGTGAGAGAGAGTGCATGAGAGCATGAGATAGCATGAGAGAGAGTGCTTGAGAGAGGGAGCATGAGAAAGAGAGAGTGTGTGAGAGCGTGAAAGAATAGGTGTGAGTGAGAGAGAGAATGTGTGAGAGTGTGCGTCAGTGTGAGAGTGCTCCAGTGAGTGAGTGTGTGTGAGAATGCTTTTGTGAGAGGGAGGGGGAGGTGATCGTAAGCACGATCAAAATGGAGGTCTTTGTAAGGGATTTGAAGTTGGGAGGGCAGGGGCAATGCAGAGAAATTTGGGGAAAGTGTTCCCGAATTTCGGGGTGAAGCGGATGAAGGCACGGCCACCAATGGCGGAATAGACTGCACAAGGGCCAAACAGGAGGCTGGAACCAACCAAGTGGAGGCAGCAGTGGTGGGATGGGGCATGAGAGAGGGCATGAAGGGATTTGAAAATCAGTGAGAGGGTCGTGAAGCCGATGCGTTCAGTAATTGGGAGGTAGTGGAATCTGGCAAAGACTGGTCCGATGGGAGTACAGAGTTTTTTTGCCTTTGATATGAGCTGCCCTTTCTTGTCTACCTCGCAGAACTGAAATACTTCAAGCCTGGATGGAAGCCAGGAAGAGGGAGACAGCGAGCAAGAAAAGCAAGGAGGTATCGAGCTAAATGTTAAACAATCATGACATTGAATTCTACCACGGAAACACGCTGTTTGGCCAAGCTTGTCCATGCTCATGTGTTTATTCGACATGCTTCTCTCTCCATCCAGTCTTCACTTCCTCCATTCTATTCCCTTCTTTCTCACTTGTCTACCTCGCTTAATTTTAATAAAAAATCTAAAATTATATTTGTAAAGCGCCTTTCAAGTTAGTAGTATGTCCGAAGGCACTGGACAGTGAGGGATTTGGACCCGAGATGGGGGATCAGGATTGGGGAGGATGGAGGGAAGGGAGGAGGTAGTGGTTGAAGGCTTCGTCGGAGGAGCCAAGGGAAGGAGCGAGGCAAAGGGAGTATGGTGTGGAGTTCCAGATGGTGGGGCCAGAGAGGCTGAAGGTGCGGCTGCCGATGGTGCAGAGTATGGGGTGGGGAATGTGGAGCAGCCAGGACTGCTGAGTGTAGGGAAAGGACATCTTGATATGGGATCAACAGGTCACACAAGTAGGGAGGGGCAAGACCCTGAAAGGCCTTGAAAGCCAGGAGGAGGATTTTAGACTCTGTCCTCTGAGAAATGAGACAGTGAAGCTGGGCGAGGGTGGGAATGATCATGGAGCCGGATGCGGGAGAGGATACAAATTGCAGCTTGTGGAGGGAATAATTGGGAAAGCTGACAAGTGTGGAATTGGCGTACATAAGCCTAGATATAATGAATGCCCTCATGAGTGTTTCCGCAGCCTGATAGGTGAGGCAGTGGCAGAGCCGGGGGATGTTACGTAAGGCATAACAGGTCATGGCGTGGATATGGGGTAGAAAGCATAGTTGAGAGTCAAACAAGATACCAAAGTTCCAGGAATGGCTCCTTGAGGTGGATTTGCATCCCTGGATATTAATGCTGTCAGTGCTAGATTTGTGGAGGTGCTGACAGGAGCTAATCTGGAGTGCGTCAGTCTTGTTGGCTTTTAACTGAAGAAATTTAGCTCTCTTCGAGGATTGATGTCTGCCAGACATTCTGACAGGAGCACAGTGGTCCTGGAGTCGAGAGAGCAGGGATAGAGATAAATTTTGTTGTCATCTGCATACATGTGGGTGTCATCCGTATATTATGGGATCTAAAGGCATCCCATTTAGATCCCATAGTAACTATCTCATGCTTGCATTCCCTGCTAATGGATTTCCCAACAAGTAGGAACAGCCTGTATTTGCTAACCTTATTAAATCATTTTATAATTTTAAATCCCTCTATTAGGTCCCCTCTTGAGCAAAATGGGACCACATCTGAAGGGTGGCACCTCTTACAATGCAACTCACCCCCAGCACTTCACTGGAGTTTCAGCTTCACTTGGGTTTCAAGTCCTGGTTTGCAGATGCGAGAGTGAGACAGACCGATCCAGACTGGCACATGCTTATGATGTTCTTCCCTGTTCTTACGTTCTGTATTTCAGAGCCAAACGGAGAGCTCACCCATCCCGTCAGGATCAGCTGAGGATGGAGGTGACCACACAAGACACTTGACTGAAGCCACAGGTTCAGCAAAGGAAGAGAGCAGTCTGGTTAAAAGAGGAGCAGTCTCAGTTGGTGAAACTAATGATTGCAAAACATCTAAAAAAGGTATTCTTCCTGCAAAAATCTAAACAGAAAGATTGAGCGCAGAGCGATTTGTCCCATTGTGCCTTTGCCAACACTGACTCTGTGTTTCTATTCTGCCATTAATCTCAGTTTTCAATCCCAAGGAATGGAATGTTATCAGAAACTGTCCTGAACCGGGTCAAGCCAATATAGCTTTACATTCTGCTAACTATTAGTCCCCTCTCAGCTCTCCATTCAAAGCAAAGAACTCCATCCATGCCTTAGTAATTAGCTGGCCATACCATGAATGATTATCGACAGGACACAAATAAAAAGCCTTGAAAACATTAAGCATCGTAAATATAATCTTACAGAGGCATGTAACCCCTAGCAGATCGGGCCCAGACAGTGTTGCATTCAGGGCAATGAACAGAATAAAATCCATTTATTCTATTCAGCCCACTTTTAATAAAGGACCGGACAACAGAGGAATAAAATAAATTCAGAACCACATGCTATGACAATTCTTTACTTGATATGAAATACAACATTTGTTAGTTCAAATATCACAATAACAGACAGGTTAATAGCATCAACAAGTGTCCATATCAAAGTAACAGACCCAATAGTCAGTCAGTCCATAAATCTTTTGAATCTTTGCTTTTTTGGTGGAGTCAGTTGGTAAAAGTCCTGAACGGCAAAAGTCTTGCATTAGCCGAAAAGAGAAAGTCTCTTGCTTCGGGCCCGCAATCTCTTGCTTGGGATATTGATCACTAGGTCAAAATTGATGATGGACAGCTCAGCTGTGACTTTAATGGACAGTTGTTATACATTACTAATTCTTCTCGACGGTTGTTTTACATTGTAATTATTCTCCTCCCGTTACGTTTCAATCGATTTCAGACCTTCAGCAATTTGTGCAGTTTGCTTCTTCTTGAAATTACTGTTAACCAAAGTTGATGAAAGGATGGAAACAGTCTATGTCAAAAGGTTTTTAAACCCAAAGACAACACATTTGCTTCACCACTTCATAACGTCTCATGAAAAGATGGCTCTTGTGTGGACAGCATCTGATTTGCTCTGTCCAATGCTGAACAAAGTATAGTTCGACGACACATCTTTCATATTCGCTTTTCCACAGACCGGATAAGAATAAATAATCTTTATTTTCTCAGGTACATGAAACAATTATACACATAAAAAAATGCAATCTGCAGAGATGTCATTACACCTTCAGATTGTTCTTGTTATTGTTATAGAAGAACATGAATTGTAATAAAACTTGAATCGTTATAGAAAATATCTTTAACACAAACTTGAATTTGTTACGGGGCAAAACATTTTCAACTTCCTCATCGATCACAAAACAATAATTTAAAAATTATCAAACATCTTCAACAATCATAATCAAGTAATCTTGACATTTTTCTGGTTACATCATAGTTTTTAACCATTAATCAAAATAGCGTTGAATAATTATAATCATTTCTAACCATTGATTGAAATAATTATTTTGATACATGGGTTAACATATATCTACAATTTCAGTTATGAAGCAGGATCACAACAACATTTAATATCTCATAAAGGTTAACATAACATAGCATGTAGGAGCAAGCGTAGGCCATTCGGCCCTTCGAGCCTCTGTCCCACCATTCAATCATGGCTGACCTTCTAATCTAACTCCAGCTAATAACCTGACCCTGCCTTATCCCCATATCCCTTAATCCCTTTTACAATAAGAAATCTATCTATCTCAGTCTTCAATATGTTCAAGGACTGAGCGTCAATAGCCCTTTGGGGTAGTGAGTTCCATACATTCACTGCCCTTTGAGTGAAGAAGTTCTTCCTCAATTAGTGCGAAAGGGCTGCCTCTGATTTTAAGGTTGTGACCCCTGGTTTTAGTTTCTCCAACCGGGGAAACAATCTCCCACTATCTACTCTATAATGCCCTTTGATGATCTTATAGGTTTCTATAAGATCCGCTCTAATTCTTCTGTATTCTAGAGAATATAGGCCCAAATTGGTCAGCCTATCCTCGTAACTCATCCCCTTCATCCCTGGTACTAACCGAGTAAATCTACGCTGCACCCCCTCCAAGGCAACTACATCCTTAAATGAAGAGACCAAAACTGAACACAGTATTCCAGGTGTGGTCTCACCAGGGCCCTAGACAGTTGCAGCAAGACTTCCCTACTCTTATACTCTAATCCTTTCATAATGAATGCAAACATACCGTTCGCCTTCCTAATTGCTGCTGCACCTGCAGACTAACTTTCTGTGATTGGTGTACAAGGACACCCAAGTCCCTCTGGACGCTAACACATTCCAATCTCTCCCCTTCTAAAAAATAACCCGCTCTACTGTATTTTCTACCGAGGTGGATGACTTCGCACTTCCCTACATTATACTTCATCTGCCACTTACCTGCCCACTCACCTAACCTATCTATGTCTCACTGCATTTTTTTAATGTCATCGTCTGTGTTGACACTTCCTCCTAGTTTTGTGTCATCCGAGAATTTAGATATATTAGCTTCGATGTCCTCATCAAGATTGTTGATGTAGATGGTAAATAGCTGAGGCCAAAGGACTGATCCTTGTGGCACTCCACTAGTCACATCCCGCCAATCTGAAAAGGACCCGTTTATCCCTACTCTTTGTTTCCTACCCGTTAACCATTCCCCAATCCACGTTAATATGCTCCCCCCAATTCCATGGGCCCTTATCTTTTGGACTAACCTTTTATGCGGCACCTTATCGAATGCCTTCTGGAAGTCCAAATAGACCACATCCACTGATTCACCCTTATCTAGTTTACTGGAAATATCCTCAAAAAACTCTATGAGATTTGTCAAACATGACTTCCCTTTTGTAAAGCCGTGTTGACTCGGCCTAATTATATTGTACCCTAAATACCGCACTACCACATCCTTAATCAATGATTCTAAAAATTTTCCTATCACTGATGTGAGACTAATCGGCATATAGTTCCCCATCTTTTCCTTTCCACCTTTTTTAAACAGTGGTGTGACATTTGTGATCTTCCAATCCATGGGGACTGTTCCAGAACCCAAGGAATTGTGGAAGATCATACATAAGGCCTCCACTATCTCATAAGCTCCTCTTTTAAAACCTTGTGATGCAAGCCATCCGGACCAGGGGATTTGTCACTATTTAGTGCTAACAGTTTCCTGAGCACCAATTCTCTACTCTTGAAAATTTCCCTAAGTTGCTCCCTGTCCTTATCCCTTTGGTGAATCCCTATTGTTGGTAGACTTGTTGTGTCTTCTCGGGTGAAGACAGATGCAAAGTACCCATTTAGGGACTCTGCCATGTCCTTGTCCCCCATTACAACTTCTCCTGTCTCTGACTGTAGTGGACCTACATTTACCATCACAGCCTATTCCTCTTAATATATTAGTAAAAACTTTTACAATCAGACTGAATGTTCCTCATACTCCTTTTTCTCGCTCTTAATGAGTTTTTTAGTTTTATTTTGCTGGTTTCTAAAACTCCCAATCTCCAGATTTGTTTTTTTTGGCAGTTTTATAAGCCTTTTCTTTTAATTTGATGCTTTCCCTAACTGCTCTAGTTGCCACGGATGAATTGCTTTCCCTGTGGTGCTCTTATTCCGCAAGGGAATATGTGATCGCTGAGAATTATGCACTACATCCTTAAATATTTGCCACTGTTGGTTTACATTTTTACCTCTTAATCTTATTCTCCAATCTATTTTACCTAAATCTTTCCTCATACCTACAAAATTAGCCCTATTTAAATTCAGAATACTTTCCTCGGATTTACCTTTATCCCTCTCTAACTTAATGCAGAGTTCAATCATATTGTGATCACTCTGCCCGAGAGGATTCTTAATACCTACACTGCCAACTCGCCCTGTTTCGTTACACAAAACAAGGTCTAGGATGGTCTGTCCCCTAACTCTTCTTCTGACCTACTTTTGCTGATTGGGTTTTCCCAATTTATGTGGAGATTGAAATCACCCACTATTATCGCTTTACCTTTCCTTCATGCTCCACTGATTTCTTGATTGATACCCTGTGCTATATTGTGATCGCTGTTTGGTGGTCTATAAACCACTCCCATTAATATTTTCTGTCCTTTATTATTTTTTATTTCCACCCATATTGTCTCAACCTCCTGGTCATCGGATTTCAGATCCTTCCTCTCCACTGCTTTTATTTTATCAGTATCAGTTAATTCAGTATTTCCCCTCAGCTCTGGCACTGGAGTGTTAACACTGAACAGCCCACAAAAATGGCACTAACTTAAATTGTAGAATAGCCTGGAGTTGCGAGAACTTTCAGGATTCTGTACACACTATGATTCTCAATGCTGCTCTTTTTTGATTTTCTCAACAGGAGCCCGAACTGGAAAGGGTTTGAGCACCAAACACAACCAAGTGAGTGGAGGAGAGGCCTGGAGCAGCAGATACGGTTTGAGAAAGAGGGAGAGAAGAAATTACACCGAGGAAAGGGATCTTCCTGACGATCATTACTTGTGTATGTAAAAAACAACCTGAGTTTCTCAGCATAAAATATTCCAGTGTAGAATCGCGCAGATGTCAGCCTGGCTCAGATAGTTGCCCTCTGGCCTCTGAGTCAGAAGATTGTCGGTTCGAGACCCCACATTGTGGACAATGAGTTCACAGTCTAGGCTGACACTGCAGCACAGTGCTGGGGAGAGGGATCGCCTCAGTGTCTGTGCCCGTTCAGGTGGACGTTACTTCTTTTTATGCCCATGACATATCCCGGAGAATGCATGGAGGTGTTCATTTATATTTTATTCAAAAAAGTTTGACAATAATCCTTGCGTTTCATACACATCATCTTATCTCATCATCGAAACGTCTCACAGTGATTCAAAAAATTCACAATCCAATACAGATTTGCATTGATATACCTTTCCTCAGGAGGATGTCCCAAGGCGCTTGATTGCTGTGGTTTGGGGTAAGAGCCAAGAGTGTTTGGGAGGGGAATCAGACCGGAAGCACCGTCACAGAGGAAGGAGTGAGTAGGAGGAAGTCCGGGATTGAGTCTACGAATTGGACTCTTTCCACTGAGCTCCTGTTAACCCTACAAGCCAAAGCTCTAATGGGGAGGGTGGTCAAGCAGCAGTATAGCTTCCACACTGCTACCCATGGCAAGCTAATTGGTTTGAACTGGTTAATTCTGGCAGTTACCCCCTCAACACTCCCACACAACCTCTTGCTAACCTGCACCTCCTACTCTTCGGAATTTCATTATACAGATGCGACCTTCTAAAGGAGCTTTGAGAAATTTGACATTATTGGCATTATTAGACACAAAAAAATATTATTGTGTATTTGGTAAGGTTGCGCACACACTATGGAAGTTTCAGCCCATCGTGAGTGGTGGCTTTGCATTTCCCATGACAGTCCCATTTGTCACTGTCATGAGAAATGACTGTAATTGCTCAAAATCGACATTTTCAGGGTTCCAGGTCTGGCTAAGTAATGTGGATACAAGACACGTGTCAGGACTTTGCTATCACAGTCCAGGCTACTCACAGCCCATTTGCTGGGGCGAAGAGTGTTGCATTGTCAAAGGCTCTGAGCTTTTAAGCTAAAATCCCTCTTTGCCTCTTCAGAAAGAAGTGATCCTACAGGACTATTGGAAATTTTATGTAGCCCCCTGTCAAGTCATCAAGACGTCCCAAAGCGGTTTACAGGATTTTACTGTGAAGTGCAGAGACTGAAGCAGCTAATTTGCATGCAGCAATGTCTCCCAAACAGCCAAGAAGTAATTGTCGAATTTTACTTGGGATATTTGAGTTGCTCAGATCTGCAGTGCACTGTCTTAAAGGATGGTGGATGCAGATTCGATAACAAGTTTCAAAAGAGAAGTGGATAGATATTTGTATAGAAGGATTTGCAAGGCATTTATGAGATCGTGGGGGAGTGAGATTAATTTATGAGAGCGTGGGGGAGTGAGATTAGATCTTTCAACAGCTGGCACAAGCACGATGGGCTGAATGGCCTCCTTCTGTGCTGTACAGTTCTGTGATTCTATATTGTCAGCCATGATTTTATGGGTAAGAGAGAAGCACTCTTCTCTTTTGGAATCGTGTTGTGGGAACTTTAACGCACAACAAATGTTGAGGCCTGGCCGGACAGCTCAGTTTAACACCTCATCTGAAGGACGGCAGCTCCAAGAACACAACACATCCCCTGCATTAAAATAAGACCTGGCCAATCGTCCTCCAGAGTAATCACTCACCGACTCACCTCATGGATGTTTGCGGGAAGTGGCTGTGGAAAAAAATTGACACCGACAAAAACTGATCTGCGTGAAAGGCCCTGTATCAATCCGAGTTGCTGTTCTTGACCACAACACTTGGACATTAATTACTGTGAAGCATTTTAGAGTGTTTTCACTTGATCGGGTACTGTACAAATGCAAGGATTAATTCAGAATTGGTCAAAAAGCAATTCCTAAGGAAAATAATAATAATCCTTGCATTTGATATAGCGCTTTTCACATCTTCCAGATGTCTCAAAGCGCTTCACTGAATATACTGTAAAGTGAATTGACTGTACATTGTGGGCAAAATGCGGCAGCCAATTGCGCACAGCAGTGTCCCACAGTCGTAGATCGAAGTGACCAATTTATTATTGCTCTCATTTTATTGAGGGATTATTATCAGGAATTATTATCAGTAAGCGACCTTGCCCAAGATTTTGCCATGCCGGGAATTGAACCCAGGTCTCTCGTTTCTGAGGAGAGTGCTCTATTCTTTGAACTACAGGACTCTGCATATGCTGCTGACACAGATCTTCCTTTTCTGCCAACAGCTCGCAAAGTGGATGAGTGTGACTCCCAAGCTCACCCTCATTCGAACATTGTGTTATCTCATGCCAAGTTCCAGCAGAAAAACGGCAGAAGACATCCCATATTCCATCGAGACACATCAGCACAATCTGCTTGTAGGATAACTGTTTCTTCACGTCAGAGAAAATATCAGGGATCTATCACATGTATTGTTGCAGAAAAGGGGTTTACGAAAACGAGGTCTCTGCAGAGTCACCAACGATCGATCTCAGGAGCGAGACCTTATAAATGTGCCGAATGTGAAAAGAGTTTCTCAACGTCAAGCAGCTTCCATATTCACATCCGATCACACACAGGAGAGAAACCGTATAAATGTGGTGAATGTGGGAAGAGTTTCACAACATCAACCAACCTCCACGTTCACCATCGATTACACACGGGAGAGAAACCATACAAATGTGCTGAATGTGGAAAGAGTTTCACACAGTCAGGAGGCCTCCTACAGCACAAGCAATCACATACAGGAGAGAGACCTTATAAATGTACGGAATGTGAGAAGAATTTCACAACGTCAGGATCGCTTAAGATTCACTATCGATCACACACAGGAGAGAGACCGTATAAATGTGCTGAATGTGGGCAGAGTTTCACACAGTCAGGGGACCTCCAGGTACACCATCGATCACACACAGGAGAGAGACCGTATAAATGTGGCGTCTGTCAAATCAGTTTCAAAACGTCAGGGCCTCTCAAGGTACACCAGCGATCACACACAGGAGAGAGACTGTATAAATGTGCGGAATGTGGACAGAGTTTCACACGCGCAGGAGCCCTCCAATGTCACCAGCGATTACACACAGGAGAGAGACCATACAAATGTGTTCAATGTGGAAAGAGTTTTGCACAGTCGGGGAACCTCAAGTTACACCATCGATCACATACAGGAGAGAGACCGTATAAATGTACTGAATGCGGAAAGAGTTTCACACAGTCAGGGGACCTGAAGGTACACCAACGATCACACACAGGAGAGAAACCGTTTTCATGTGCTGAATGTGGGAAGAGATTCACAACATCAGAGAATCTCCAGATTCACCATCGATCACACACCGGAGAGAGACCGTATAAATGTAGCGAGTGTGGAAAGAGTTTCACAGCTCCAGGTCGTCTCCAGAGACACCAGCGATCACACACGGGAGCGAGACCGTATAAGTGTACTGAATGTGGAAAGAGTTTCACCATGAAACAGTGCCTCCATAAACACCAGAAAGTGCACACAGGAGAGAAAGTATAAATGTCTCGAATGTGGGAAGTGTTTGTTGGTTACAAGCTGGGGAACCATCATCTCCTGCAGTACCTCACTCACGCTGTTGTGCACATGTGAGTCTATCACCAGGGATAGTGAAATACAATTGCATGGTGAGAAATCAGAGCCAGTGTGTCCCCACTGACACAAGTCATGGACTCAACTGTTAAAGCTCACAACATGGGTTATAAGTCAAAAGGGACCGTCAACCCTTGTCTCTTATCACTAGGTTGGGGAATGCTTTCTGGTTCATTATCAACAGAAAAGGATGTGCTTACTGGTCTCTTACCATCAGATTGGGGAGAGGGGCTTCCTTTTTCATTACCAACAGAATGTGTTGTGTAATTGTTTATCACCTAACAGTTTAGTGTGTATTTTCTGGTTTAGATGGCTGTTTTACAGTTTATTATCAACAGAATGTTCTATGTTTTTTGCTTTTTCGCCAGCAGATTGTTGTGTGCTTGCTGGTCAATACTGGCAGAATGTAATCTGACTGAGATTTCACCATTATTGTGGATTGATAAAGAAAGCAATTTGATTGAAACAATTACTTGATGTGGTTATTGTCTCACAAGGAATATAACAGCATGAAGTGCGAGGAAAGGGGAGGATAACACGGGTTTGCAAGGCACAGCGGGGGTAGTGGTGGAGCCTGAGGAGAAGAAGGGAAGATAACTGAGAGAGTGTCAGTGAATTAGATATTCTGCATTGTTGCCCTGGTGTGGTCAGATTTTAAATCATGTTGTTGATGGTGGTGAGGGTCTTATTCAGATGGATGGGCTGAGGATCTTCATTCAGACAGTTTAACGATGCTCCAGCCAGAGCGTCACTGATTGCTGATTGCTGGAATAACCAGGGACGTGTTGTGTTGGAAATGTCACTATTTTTGATTGCATCACTGCTGAGAATTGGGAATGTGGCTGTTGAGTTGTTCTGTCTGTTAAGGGAGAGGGGAGGAGTGAGGGACAAACATCTGTTTGTTTTTCTCACTTGATGTCTCGCTTTGTCTGTCGGTCGGTCGGTCGGTCGGTCGGTCGGTCGGTCGGTCGGTCGGTCGGTCGGTCGGTCGGTCGGTCGGTCGGTCGGTCGGTCGGTCGGTCGGTCGGTCGGTCGGTCGGTCGGTCGGTCGGTCGGTCGGTCGGTCGGTCGGTCGGTCGGTCGGTCGGTCGGTCGGTCGGTCGGTCGGTCGGTCGGTCGGTCGGTCGGTCGGTCGGTCGGTCGGTCGGTCGGTCGGTCGGTCGGTCGGTCGGTCGGTCGGGTCTGTCCGTCTGTCCGTCTGTCTGTCACTTACATCTGGGTATATTTAAAGGCTTTCAAATCTCCAATATTTGAATGGGATTCTTCTGTGAGATTCACTCACCGTTTCTCTCTCTCTCCTCACTGGATATACTGTAAATTGTAGTGACTGGGTTGTGTTGGCGAAATGTGAGATTGACAGAGAGAGAGAGAGAGAGAGCAAAAGAGACGTGATTTGGCATTATATCAAATGCAACAATTATTTCCTTGGAAAAAAATTTCCACTGAGTGCCTGACATCAAATCAACAGATCTCTTCTCCTTCTGGACTTCCATCCACACTGATCGTAATGCAGCCATCAAGCTGTTAATGAATGGCTCCCTGCAACCCTCACCTCAATTGCCCCTCTAAATCTATCTGCTCCCCCTGGTATGACAGTTACCAATGCTCCCTGAAAAAACAATCTCGGTGGCTTGAGAGCAGATGGCACAAATCTGGCCTCATTATTCATCGTCAGCTGTGGCTTGAGCACTTCCACAACTACCGCCTCTCCCTCTCACAGGCAAAAATTCCTTTTCCACCAAAACGATTTTGGAGGCAAACAACAACAAAAAGGCAATGTTATCCACCATCCATCACCTCCTCCGTGCCCCAACCCAAGCTGCCGCCGTCCTCACCTAGAAAGCCAAGTGAGAAAAGGTCCAAGATCATTTGTGTCGAAGATGAAAACATCCTCATAGCTGCATCCAGGACCCCGAGATCATCTACACAACCCTCTCCTTCCATGGCCCATACCACTCCCCACTTCCTACATTATTTGCGCCGCCTCCCACCTCCTCAACCACCATCTCCCCAGATGAAGCCCACAACCTACTGCCTCAAACCCTTCCCCAACCAGCTTCTGGTCACCCAAATCCTCCTCCTCTCCCCGCTGATGGCCAAAATATTCAACATATTCTCTCCTTAGGTTCGGTTCTCTTCCCTTTAAAACTGCTGTAATCACTCCCCTTGTATAAAACCCACCCTTGATCCCTCGAAAGGAAGCTCGTGGCAATACTTATGATGCTGATATCCGTTGCCCATCAGGAAGTTTGTAGGGGTTCAGTACTGCCAGCCATACTCGCCTAAATCTCTACAAAACTTGTCTTCTTACTAAATTTTGGTCAAACACTTTTATTCAAAAATACAGCTAATGATAATTTTGCTTTTCAGAGCAGGGGAGGATAGAACAAAAAACACATTTCTTTTCACAACCAAATCACGGCCTTTAATTTGGGAGGACTTCTCAAAGCTCACAATATTACAAGAGTGAAAGATCTCTGAAGGAGACATCAGTTTACTAAACGACTTGTTCCTGCAGTTAATTTCAGATGTTGTCATATTCTGTAAATTGAACACATTAACTTGGTTTAACAAAATGCAAAATACCGCATACACTGGAAATCTAAACTATAAACAGAAGTCGCTGGGAACGTGCAGCAGCTCAGGAGGCATCTACCAATAGAGGAAAATGACCTTTCGTCAGAACTTGTTTACTGATGGTTGGAGCATTCTTCTGTTTCATAAGAGGATGAGCTGAACAGAACGGTCGTATCTAATAAATTTAACCTCTGTCTTTAAAGCTGCCAGTGGCATCCTCACATGAAACGCTCTACAAAAATTGAAGTTGTAAAAAAAACCGCAAAAGTCACTGGGAACACACAGCAGCTTCTCTGGGGAGAGGAAAGTGAATTCTAACTACAGTTCGATCGTTACCGAGAGCAGTATTTTTCACTGACTTAGTCAAGTGAATTCTACCCGTGGACAATAGCGGAGGTCGGAGAATAATATATTCAATGTTACCATCCAACCTCATTCAGTTCCACGTTCAACGAAACCTATATTTGAGGTCACCTCCGTTAAAGTGAAAGAGAAACTGCAGACGTTAATCGGAGGTTAAAGGAGATGGGAGATCAGTGCTCGCTCACCACTAGATCCCAAACAAAACTATAAATATTTGTGTAACCTGTAACTTACAGAGGGATGCTCGAAGTGAAAGCGCCCCAGGACGCTACTCTCCGCATGAAGGGCACTATATAAATGTAAATGGTTGTTGTTGGGCTCTTGGGTCTCGGGTTATGGTTATGATAATTGTGTCCCTGTTTCAATGGTATTCCTTCCATCCAAAAAAATGATTCCAAGCTGCTATCGAAGTCCACTGATTTTTCCATTTATTTTCTGGGAGGCAGTCTCGAGTTTTCACCCCAGAAAGCAAGGAACTGGGTACTGTTTGCATTGGTGAATGTACGAGATTTGGTTTGCTTCCGCAATCCCCTAGCATTTGAGAAAAGCATTTCAGACTCGGTTGCAGTGAATGGAAATATTGTTTATTTTTTTCCTTCTATTTAACAGTTAATTTTACACATTCGCTTTGATTGATGGTGTAAAGGGAGCTTCACTGTGTGTGTGTGGACAGAGAACGCCTCGGGCATCCTGCCGACATGAAACCCGCTATATACATTAATTTGTTTTTGATATTGTTGTGATTGAGGGGGTTTCACTCTGTCTCTATCACAGTCCTGGGAGTGTGAACGGACATTGCAGAGGAAGCTTTTGTCTGTCTCTATTCCTGATCCAGCAGTGTGGACTGACAGTGCAGAGGGAGCTCTATACTATCTCTAAACATGAACCTGGCGTGCGCACAGATAGTGCAGGATGTGCAGGATTGTTATTCACTTAACGCGTCACTGGCATTCCTGGTAATGTTTGTTAATTAAATAATCTAAAAATTAGAATACATGGAAATGTCGCCACTTTTTTAATCTCCTCTCTGAATTGAGTCTGAGTAACTGTGTAAATACATGTGTTTGTACAGGAACTCAAAAGCTGCAGCATGTAGCCAGTTTCCTGGATAATGTACAAAGGGTCATTAAAGCTTGTGAAGGCAGATGTCTTTGAAATCCTCCAGTATAAGAAAAATAAAACATAAGTCATCCATAACACTATAAAATTGGCGGAGATCGCAAAGAGTAAAACAATGGCTTTCCTTCTGATCTTCATCTCAGGATCACAGTGACTCTCACCTCTGCTCCTGTCCCCATTACTGTGTCCCCGCAATCTCCTGCGGACTCGACTGGTCACCAGTATGTGCCTCACAGTCAGGGCGTTGAGCAGCAAAACCAGAAGGAATGGGAGAATTGGGGTTAAAATAACATCCAGCAGGTCAAACACCGCCCATTTGAGAGAAGTGTAATAGCTTGCTATAATATCACACCCCCAAGGTATGTTGTTAACTGTGTAAACTGGTTCATACGTAAAATACCAGGGAATGTTTTGCACAAAGAAGAAAACACTCGATACCGCTATCACTGTACAAGCTGTGTTTTCGGTGCAATATTTTGTTTTCATTTGTTGGCAACAGATGGCCACGTATCGATCAAAAGTGAAAGCCACAGTTAACCAGACAGAAATTGCCCCCGTTGCAGTAGCCAGTAAAACTAGCAGCCGGCACACAGCAGGTATGTACAAGAAAGAATTTGGGAAGTCATAAAAGACAATGCGATCTAAAATTACCGCGAAAATAACCACAATCAGATCAGCCACTGACATGGCCACCAGATAGCGAGAGATACATTTGGAGAGACCGCACTTCCCTCGGGACAGGATCACAATCGCCATGAGGTTAGCTACAGAGGGAGAGAGAGAGAGAGAGAGAGAGAGATGATCAGTCATAATGATCCATTCCTACAGATGATTAAATGCAAAAACAGTGGACATTCTGCAGGAGCAAAAATCGTCTCTCCCACTCAAATCCAATTTTTTTGGATTCCAATGGAGATGGAGCAAAAGCTGCCTCGCTGTCCATCATCATTTGGCCGGGGATAGCGACATACATAAATAGAGATAGATGCAGAGAGTCAGATACACAGACAGAGAAAGACACCGAGATAAATTTACAGGGAGAGATATAGAGAAGACAATAATAAACACACAGGAAGATACAGAGAAAAAGATACAGACAGGGACAGATACAGGCAGACATAGAGAGAATCATACAGAGAGAATGAGAGATAATAAAGAGACAGAAATGGACAGAAAGACACAGACCCACTGGGAGAGAACAAGCAAACTGACAGTGAGGCAGAGTTACAGACACATAACGACATAGAGTGGTACAGAGAGACACACAGAGAGGTGCACTGACAAATAGATAGAGGGAAGCACCGAGACAGCGAGAGATACGCACTGAGAGATACCCTCCATTATACATATACATACCAAAATAGAGAGAACGCATAAGCACGCAGATACAGAGTGAGAGATACAGAG